TATATATAAACGTATGTATACACATACATGCTACTGGATTGTTTCGCTGCGCGCAGTAACCTCACATATATATGTATACGTATATCATCGTACACCCTTGAAAAAGTCTTGCCTGCGGCAGCCTTAGAAGAATAGTTCACCTCAAGAAGCAGCAGCGGACGCACTGCGTATATATAATCAAGCAGCGGTGCAGTGCGCCAGTTGCCTGTGAGCCTACTGCCGCACTTTGTGGCGCCCACGCGCCCGCACCGCAGCAGAAGTAGGGTGGGCTGCTGCTGCAGCAAACCTAGCAACACGTGAAGCTGCTGCTACGGCCGAGCACCCACACGTCTAGCTCACTGACCCGGCGTAACACTCGGCAAGTTTATTCTGCTCATCTCTGCATGTGCGTGTAGCTGCATGTCTTTAAGTACGCTCCGCCCGCACGCACGCACAGCAGCACAATCACGGCGAACCGCTGCTGCAGACCCGGCAAGACACAACTGCTGCTGCGAGCGGCCACAAAACGTAGGCGTAGTTCAGAAACTCATCAAACTAGCAAGCAAATCTATTTATCCCGTCTCTGTATGCACACGTAGCTGTGTAAGTCTGTCAGTACACTGTCCGCGTGGTTTTTTGGCAGTCTTTGGCGAGAGTAGACTACATAGACGGCAGAGTAGCCCGTATACACACATACGTACGTGCATACATACATATATGCACGTGCGTGTGTGCATACGTACACATATACATATATACCTACACGCATACGTACCCAATTAGATCGATACATATATATGCATACACATACATTTAGGCATGCACACACGCACATACATACGTACATACAAATATGCGTACCTATTTAGATACACAAATCCCCACGCGTGCAAACATACACATGTATGCATTTATACGCATACACGTACGCATACATACATCTGCCCCTGCACCCATATGTATATTCTCCTTTGCACCCGTATCTTTCCACAAGCGCCTCTGCTGGCGGTATTTCAGGAAGCTTGCCGCAGAGACCCGAGCGGCAAGGAAATGACAGGAGAGTAACTAGATTAAGATAACAGGTGAACGTCATGCATACCCCTGCGTGCCAGGAGCTACCAGGAAGAGTTATACGTGTATATAAACGTATGCATATATATTGTTAATCCGGACCGAGCAGACAAGAGATGCGGCAGTAAAGGGGACACGGGATATGAGGTTGCATATACGACTGACAACGAGGAGACCGGCTCTCTAACTTAAGGTTCCGTTAGTGCTCTATTCTAAGAAGACTGACAAGCAGCAGACGGGTCCGTGCTGTCGTTTAGGACGATGAAGCGACCGTGACGTTCTGCCGCAGATTTACTTCTTCCTGCGGTATTGTAGCGCGACAGCGGCATTCATGTAGAGGCCGATGCCCGAGTACTGGGTGACCCTGCAGCTTTCACGTAGATCGATGCCCCCACGCGAATATGGCGTGACCGCGGCATTCACTCGTAGGTCGGGGCTGTCATGCCGGAGTACGAGGTGACCATGCAGTTTTCGCGCAGATCGATGCTCTCACGGATATATGGCGTGACAGCGGCATTAATTTGCAGGTCGGAGCTGTCATGCCAGCGTGCGAGGTGACCACGGAGTTTTCGCGTGTATCGATGCACTCACGGGGGTACGGCGCGACCGCAACATTCGTTGGTATGTCGCCGCTGTCATGTGAAAGTACGAGTTGAATACGGAGTTCTCTTGTAGGTCGATGGTCTCACGGGGTACGGCGTGACAGGGGCATTTGTTCTTCAGTGGATGCTGTCATGCCAGAGTACGAGGTGACCATGGCGTTTTCCCGTGAGTCGATGCTCTCACAGGAGTACAGCGTGACAGCGCCATTCATTCCTGGGTGGATGCTGTATTGCCGGAGTATGAGGTGACCATGTAGATTTTCCGTGGATCGATGCTCTCGTCTCGGCGTGTGCACATCGCGCGCGGCTGGAAAGTCGCCGCCACGAGGAGCACGCTCTACTGGTATCATGCGTGGCCCGCGTGCGGCGCCTGCTTCCTGCACATTCCCCCATTCTAATTCTTGCAGTGCGTCCAGGCGGCAGGATGACGACTGCGCGTGTGTGAAAGCCCATAACATTGAGGCGACATCGCCTTTTTACGCCTTACCAGACGTAAGAGACCACGCATCGATGTCGCACACACTCGTGTCAATCCACGCTTTTCTCCGCACTTGACGCACAGTGTATGACGTGCAGCGCCGGCGCGTGCCGTTAAGGGAATCTCGCGCCGGCCGCAGATTCCTTAATCCGGCGGAACGTCGGACGGCAACGGGGCGCGGGCCCGACTGCAAGCAGCTCTAATAGGAGGCAGAGGTGCCGGTCGAACGCAGGCGGAATTACAGCGATATCGCGTGCTGTCTCACTGAACACTTCAAGAAAGACCCGAGTGGAGAGGGCAGAGCTATTCAGGGAGTGTCTCAGAGCTGATGTGACAAGTCTCCGCCGGCAGAGCGGGGGCGGCGCCGCCTTCGGTGGATACTCTAGTCCCTGCCTGCGTGTCGTAATGAAGGCTGCCGGACGGGCGCCAGTCGCTGCAGCGGTCAAAACTTAGATTATGAGAGTCTGCCCTTCGGGTACTCTATGCGCGGCCTGTATCTGCTTTTTACCATGAAGGTTGTCAGAAGGGTCCAAGCGCTGCTTAGGCCAGGCAGCCTCCGCCTTACCGGAGGCTGCACGTACGTGCAAGTAGTGTTTTAGAGTCTTTGCTTCGGATACTCTACGCGCGACCTCTACCTGCAGCCCATAATTAAGGCAGTCTCTGAAAAAAAGCGCTCAATAGATCCTAAGTCACTGCCGGTGTTAAGCAGCCGCAATCTCACCGGGGGCTGTCTGTGCCTGCGACTAGGTGGAAAGAGTCCTTGCTCCAAACACCCTATGCCCGGACGCTACCTGCATACTGATGGCTGTTAGACGGAACCGCCTCAATGCGGCTGTCAAGCACCTTCTGCCTCGCCGAAAAATGTGTGCAAAGGTGGACGTTGATCTCGAGGGTCCTTCCTTGGGTCACCCTCTGCACAGTGTATGCGTGCTTCTCAGCGAAGGCGGCGAGGGGAAGCCGGGTTGCCGCGGGGGTCGAGCAGCTTCTTCTTCAGCGGAGGGTCCCATCTTCTGCGCGTCCTGCGGACTGACTGCACACCCACCAACCGTGCACTGGAGCGTCGCTCGCCCTTATCGCCAGCATACAGTTCCCCGAGCCCGTGTAGTGCCAGGTGGAAAAAGGTACCTTTCGCAGCAGTGCCTTCCCACGTAGTCTGCAGTAGTAGTGGGAAGCAAAGACTCGTTCGAAAAATGCTCCAGCGATAATCGACGAGAGTGCCGCTCTTCCTCTCGTCGCTGCTGCTGTACACTGTAGACGCTAGTGCTCACTGCAACACTAACGGCTGGTCGTGAAGGCTAGGCGACTTACGGTACCCAAGCCGCTAGGCGGCTAGCTGTCCACAGAGTTTAACTCTACAGTATTTTTGTAACCTCGGTGATGCATCTTACGTCGTTGTGCCGTCTTTCAAAGGTGCTGCGCCGTTTCCGAATCGCTTTCGTGCAGCTTTTGCGCTCTCCCGTGAAACCTTGCTTACCCCGCCATCCGTGCGACCAAGGAGAGACGTGCTAAGCCCTGCGTCGGGCCCTTCCGGGCGGTTTAGGCGATATTTTTTCAGGAGTCTTCTGCAGCTTCCGCCATTGCTGTTCCGTCAGAATGAAGGTCCCTGCGATGACTTATCCGACCATTGTAACCGGCTGGCCCTCGTGGGCCTCGGTTTGAGCTTGTATTCTGTTCACGTACAGAGGCAGCTCCACACGAAAACGGGATACAGGCCGTACGTAGACCTCTCGCGCAGGATCAGCTGCACAAAGGTAAGCTCGCGAAGCGGAGACACACATCAGCAGCAAACGTTCTTCTGCGGACCTCTGCACCAGATACCGCACGAAAAGCTCTATTGCCCGCTGGTGGTACTAATGGTATAAGCCGTAAAGTAGTATTTTTAATTGTGCTCTTATAGACTGTGGGCTCAACGGCAACAGCAGAAGCAGCGAAGATGAGCGTAGTGGGCGGTCTTCCAGCAGTTTCCGTCCTGCTCCTCGCAGTAGCAGATCAAAGGACTAGCACTACCAGGCGCACGACGCTCGTAGGTAGGACACGTGGAGTTTGCAAGAAGGAGAGCTGTAGATCACGCCGCGGAAGATCGCCTAGAACTAGCCGTTATGAAGACTGTCATTTTTAGCTAAGAACAATACAGTGAAAATTGGCCGCTGCCGAAGCGCACCATTCAGGCGTATTCGTCGAAAACGAGAACTACATAGTGGGGTACTGAGCGCCGGTGAGAATAAATCGGAGCTACATATATGTCGAAAACGCGAAGTAGGGAGGGGCAGCGGGCAGCCCCTCTAAAAAATTGGAGATACAGGTCACGTTATCAAGACGCGCCAGAGTCTGCGCATTCTCATCGGCTCGCCGTGTGTGTGGTCCCACAAACACACATACTGGGTAGGCGTATGCAAAATAGCACTGTTCCGTCTTCTCGATGCACTCACTCTTCGCGAACTCATACACTGTACGGTCCTACGGAGCGGGCGCTGAGTTTGCGTTCACGCGAGTCAGTTGCTCAGCCAGTATTCCCGCTGCTTGCCCCAGCGCGTATCCTGCGCTGCACGTCTTCGTGACGCGCGTAGAGGAAACGAAACACTGCTTCACGCTCCCAGGCGGCACGAAAATTCCCTTAAATCATACACACGCCTGTGATACGCAGAACACTACACTGGAGTACCACTCTACTGCGCAACGCGGGACTCCACGCCGGTAGTGTCAAATTTCTTCAAATACGAGTATATCTGGGATTTATAGTGCGTTCGCTTCTGCCACCCGGAGCTGCTCGACAATTGGCGTTCAGGTGTGTAGTGTATGTTGCAGCTCTTCCAAGAGCGAAAATGTGATTTAGCGCAGGTGGCCACAGGTGTGCTGGAGGGCGTCGAGGGCTCTCGTACATGTGTGCTCGCTCCCGGACGTAGTTGACACAGGATAATTTTGCTCTCAGCTCCCCTCAACGCATAGAGTACGTACTTGTTTACAGGGGCCTTCAGCGAGCGCGGCGTTTCATGCAAACCTGTCCTCTTTGGTCATTGCGACATGCTGTCATGTACAGAAATGAGCAGCTGCCTGATAGCCGGAGCCGCCGAGAAGTCCTATTGTATGCACTGTAGATGACGCATTTACGGTGCATGGAGCACACTTGCTGCTGCTGCTGCTGCACATGTTCGTCCGCCTAGTGACGGGGGCAAGAGCGTTAGTTGCCGAGTAAGAGGTGCGTCCCTGATGAGCAGCTCCGACGCCAGGATATCGCGTACACTTTGTTGTATAACAGACCTGTCATGTCGTGGGCGCCGCCGAGAGGCTGGAGTCGTACGTGAATTTTTTTCGTAGACGTGCTGGCGGCATATGTCATTTGTTCTGTGCACACCTCTTACATTAACATTACCCAGGCATGTGCCGGCGCTTCGCAGAGCTGTCCTTTGTTGGGTGCGTGCCACCACACGCTTGTACGTCGACTGCAATCATGCCGCGTGTTACTGTAGTCTATCAAACGTAAAGCTACAGATACGGAAGTACACCACAAAAAGGTCCCTGATAGCATGGTAGTATGCGATGGCTTATCCGCGAAGACGGCTCTGCTACGAAAGTTCCACAGAGAGCATCCCAGTAGCATGGTAGTTCGCCCTTGCCGCTCCGCACACGTATAAACGACTCTGTTGAATGCGGACAGGTCTGCTTGCCGGTGCTTCGTCAACTCACAACTTCTTAAAATATACACTACACGTTGCGACGCCACCTATATCCAATTCGTTGAACGGCCGCCGGTTGTCCTAGTGGGGGACTCTCCCGCCTAGCATTGGTGTGGACCCTAGTTCCCTTCACTGCTGGAAACACAGGCTGCTCGGGTACCAGTGCTGTCTACCTAGTGAAGGACGGTGTACTGCTACAGCAGTCCGACGGCTTGCACAGCTGCACATTCTTTGACAGTCGCAGGTCGACTCCGTCCAGGTATCGTGCTTCTGCACAGACGTTCGCGACTGCATATCTCAGTCGTGTGGCGTTGCCTGTGCAATACACAGCACCAACATGTATATACGTATATATACATCTGTTTGCATCCGCGTCGCTGCGGGATCGCCCCCTACAGGTATTTTGCGGGTTCCACAGACCGCGAGGGGCCTGCCGCTGGGGGAGGGTTTCTCCAGTAGCTGTATATATGCAGGGAACAAGCCGCCTAACAGATGCCGTAGTTTTCCAGTTGCAAACCGCGCGAAGGGCAAAGTCAATACATACAGGAGAGTCTGCCGCGAACAACCACACGAGGGTATGGTACCAGATTCAAATAGGAAAGTAGCGGCTTGCATATTGTACACCCACGCAACTGAACCGGTGAACTTTTGCAGCTGTCTTGCTTTGCCCATGCCTGTAGGGCGGCGTGTGTACAACACGACTCCGTGTATGTTACGGCTCACGATCATACGCGCGCCCGAACCACCCTTATGTTGCTGTAGGAGTTCGCCGCAGCTCGTGGAAACATACGCGCATGTGTAGACAAATATACGACAAACAAACGCTCTTGCTCATAGGGGTAGCATGCCCACATATGTACACGTGTGCGCAGACACAGCTGCCCTCTGCGTGCGAAGGCACACAGCTTCAAGTCCATCTCTGCATTCGTCCGGGTCCTCAGCGACTGTTATATTCACCCTTTTTTTGGTGAATTTGGTAGTAGACCAAGAGTGCTTATCCGTGGGCCGCTTTACTTTTGCCTTCATGACTGTGCTGGCGAGATCCATTCCCTGGATTTCTGCACTATAGTCGGGTCCCCAGAGACCGCTACGGTTGCCGGCTCATCTAGTGAGTTTGTGAACGGAAAGCGTTCGTCGGCGGGTTGATCTCAGTCTCGCCCGCTTGACTGCGTTGGGAAGGTGCTACAGCCGGACTTCTGCATCTCCAGATTCTCAGATGCCGGTCCGTTCGCCCCGTCGTTCAGAGATTGTAGTTGATAGACGGGGATCGTCTCTCCGCGTGCGGAGTATACTTTCGCACGACTGTGTTGCGCAGACTCTGCTGTGGGATCGCTTGCCATTTCCAGGTACTTAAAAGCCCTTACAGCCATCTGCTCTCGTTGTCCGGAGTCGTCCAAGCACACACTCCAGTGGATGTCTCCAATGCGCATCTCGGTAAGGCGCCCCTCTCGATTTCCACAGCGCATACGTGAAACTATGAGAGCGTTAGTGGCCGCCCGCACGTACCGGCTAATACCTGCACTGTCAGTAAATCACGCGTGGTTCACTTCCGTCGATGACCAGACATTATAGGGATTACGGAACACTGTCACGACGGCCTCGTTTGTCTGATGCGCTCTTCCTGATCTGTTACAGGCGTCTTCGTGTCTTTCTCTCATTCCTCCACTGTCGCATTACATAGGGTACTGCGGAGATGAATGCACAGATCTCCTCATGCTGAGGATGCGGAGCGCTTTTCCGCACGCACATTGCGGCTTCGCTCTCGTGACTATGGTGCTGAGATCTTGCTGCTGAGTTTTCCTTCATTCCCAGCACGTATAGCCGAATGCTGGTCCACTGCAGGTTGCGTAAGCATGACTGTGTACGCTTGTATCACTTTCGTTACATTAAAGTACAGATGGTCTGCTCGAGGGTCTCCGCGTACATTGTGTCTCCCCATAACGCAGTCTTGGCCACACGCATTTCTTGTATAGAACACGCGGCTCGAGGACCGAAGTTGAATTATTCGTGTTTTCTGCACGGTGCGTTCAGCGTCTTCATAGTGCAACCTCATTCACACGTACTCACTGTGCGAAACACTGGCTCCGAGGCCCTAGTTTGAATGATTTCGATTTTCTGCACTGTGCGAATGTGTGCGCGGACCCGAGTTTGCCGTCAAGTCTCTTTACCAGACCTTTCTTCCTACAACCTCATCAAGAAAGTACATTCCTGCTGTACTGACAAGCTACGGCAAAGGCGGTAGCGGTCATGACTGCGCCGGCTCTTGATATAGTAGTCCGCCTCTGTTATTCGTACGTGGACGCATTACATCCGCAAAAGGGTGTTTGCTGCTACATCTGGTTGCATTGCCTATTTTATCACTGCTCTGTGCGCAAACCTCACGGTCCACAGCAGGCGACGGCTCCTAAAGTGCGCTCTTGGGTGCGCTCCGGCTTTGTGCGTACGGCATTGCGTGGTACCGGCCGTGCTACTATGCTTTTCCTTGGCCGCTTTGTTTATAACATGAGGGCTACAATGCCGTCCGCACGTTCTGGGCAGTTTTGCCCTTCACCGGCTAGAGGTATATAGCATGCATGGGGTCTACATTGTTACTCGCACGTGTGCCCGTGACGCTTTTGTCACTACAGTGCTCTGTCTCGCTGGCCGCTGTCTGCAGTTCTCGGTCACCTTATCTGTGCATTTGGACGTTGAGCTACTGTCAATGTGGGCAGTGCAGCCGGACACCGTACGCAGTGGTAGCTCCTGACGAATCCTACGGCCCACATATCTTCTTCTGCACCGGAACGTAATGCTGTGTGTAGGGTATTTCGTGATCCCAGCTGTTTCCGGTAGTTTTGTCTTTTGCGGGTAATAGGTATATAGGGTGAGTTTCTCAATGTTATCGGCGCCCTCGAACGTGAGGACATTGGCAACAAGTTGCTGCGTCTTTGTGAGCCGTTGCAACATCATAATCCATGAGACGATCTCCGTTCAGCATATCCGCTTCTACACTGAGAACTAGTAGTGCTGTGGACTCGTCACACACCACCTGCTGCCAGTATTTGCGCGTAGGGCATGCGGTGGAGGTTCCGGCATCTGCATCGGAGCGTGCCACAGACGGTGGTGTTATAGTAGGAGCGCTCCGCGATATGCATCATTCAAGTCGATATCGACTGCTTGTGTCCCGCGCACTTGCACCTTCTGCCGTTCGCACAAAACTGTGGGCAGACGCTTATACACGTGTACTCATGTCACTCGTTTGAAGCAAAAGTCGCACAGTTCGTAGCTGTTGGCACCGATGCAGATCAACACGTCACTAGACATGCTTACACTCGAGCAAGATATGTGGCAGCGGTCAAAGGGGCCGCTTTCATTGGTTATGTCGTCGCACGTCTAGACGTGGACAGCTTATGTGTTTCCGATGTATGCTGCAGCGACGGCGTTTTACACATTCATGGCTACGTACCCTCTCGGCAGAATAGCGACCCCAAGCGTCTACTTCCTCGCAGCAGCCGTGGCAACGGTAAGAATGCTGGCGCAACTAACGCTCACCGCCTGCGCGGGGTTAGGACTGCACAGGCGTGCAGTTAGGTACGCTGTACAGCTCTGTCTATCCTAGGCGTCGTATGTGTACGCACATACATTTGGACGATGCCGCCGTCGCCGCAGCTGCGTTGTTAGTCAAGCCCTTCGTTCTGCCGCGAGTGCGGATAGTTACTTCCACGTCTCAGGTCGTGATCACTGCGCTAGAGACACTTATGTACTTTACACTCTTCACACCCATGGTACAGCGAAGGGCTCCTGTCGCCGTCAGCGAGTATACATATGAAGCTGGCCCGACTGCGTATACGCAGACATGCACTCTTCGTCAGCTTCCACAGGCGCACCAGTACCGCAAAGCTGAACTACAAGCGAGAATATATGAACATAACGCTGCGTGCTACCGAACACCTGGCCAGCGGCAATAAAATGCGTCTATGTCGTACAGGCTTGTGCCTGAGATGTGTCCACATGCGCTCTTGGTACCGCGACACCCGACACCTCCTCTGTAAGAAGGTAAATCGGCTACTCAAGCAGCCCTGCGGACAACCTGTGGGAGTGAAAGCGCAATGATTGAAACTTTTACTGTGTACGTCTGCGACTGCTATGGGTCACGCGCGTGTCTGCTTAACTCTTCGCTGTATCCTCTCTGTTCGGCTGCGTTGGTCATTGTGTCTTCGCTGGACATGTATACATATATATAAACGTGTTGACAGCGCTGGTTCACACGTGCGTCGCGCGGCAAGGGAATCATGCACTATCACATTACAACATCGCACTTCTCCGTCGATATAGCCGCTGGGTCTTCCGAATCGAGAGGCACCCGGTCTCCGATACTATATGGTCTCCCTCCCCGGTCCACCGCACCTGGCTTTTCTACATTTGCGGATCACGTACATATACCTGTATTTACGGCCGTAGCCCGCATGTGCCTCTCGTGGCAGAAGAAGCAGGCATTATCACATCCCATTAACTCAGTTATACGCGACAGAGCCACTGCGTTTCCACACTCGAGAACTGCCTCTCCGCCGTGCCAACGTAGTAGGAGGTTCGCGGCTTTACCGAGCGGGTTCAACTAGTGATGCAAACGAGCTCGCGCTCGTCTCCTCATACGGCTTCACCGGCCCTCTTTTTGTTTGTGAAAAGAAAAAGCCAACGTTCGAGGAACGCAGAAGAAATAGTAGACGTTTTGACGGAAGCACTGAAGAAAGAACACACTATGTGTTACGTGAGACATCCAAAGACACGTTAAAACAAGCAAGGGCACCAGGACGTTATCCGGCTGCAAGAACCATTACGAGAGCGGCAATGAATTTGGCGGCAACCCAAGACGAGCTTCGTTAGCACGATGAGCCGCCGTCCACGCCAAAATGGTCACTAGAAGAGACGTCTGTAACGGCAAGCA